AATGTAACCTATTTCCCGGAAGCCGCCGTTGCTAGGGTTCGAGCACATCGTCGCCATCATCGTCATTTAACCGGGAAATCGGTTACTTACCCACCAAAAGGGCTTAATTGAACGTTTTTTAATAGTTCGAGGACTTAATTGAGTGTTTGTAAAGTACGAGGGCATAATCGACTTTTTCGGTATAGTACGGGGGCTTATTTGATAGTTTTCCCTACAATAAATAAATATGCACATCTCTACCCTTATGTGTTGACTCTAATGTGTCATATACCAATTTAAGTTTTAGAAGGCTCTTATGGGTTAAGATATTACTTAGTTCCTACATGTTGTGCATTAATTGTTGGATTTTGTGCTTAAAACACTCATTCTAATGCTTTGTTATGCATATTGTGCGTTGGATACTTGTATATGCGCGTTAGATATTTGTGCTTGTGTATTAGATACATGTTCTTGTGCGCGGTAGCCGGAGACGCTTGTTTTGGTTCATAGTATACATATTATAATTATTTTAAAAAAATTATATATGCATTATTGGTCTCATATGAAAGATCATAAAAAATTATTTAATTTGATATAGTTTTTGTAAAAATCAGATTATAATTTTAAAAGTTAAATCAATTTTAAACTAAAAACATTTTATATAATTTGAGTTTTTATATAATTTGAGTTTTTAAAGTGGAATCCTCCCATGCCTAGCACATTAAAGAGTTTTTTTAAAATTACTGTAGTGCCCTTCATGAAAACCTACGAATGGATTGGAGTTGAAGAGTATTTTTAAAATGTTTGCACTCCCACTGTACATCCATGCATCTAATCCTTTAGTAGCCTTTAATTTATTAAGGTGTTTGATTAAGATTTGTTCTTATTTCTCACAATAAGGGGTGTTCTCATTGGAGCAACTCCCTATATATATATGTGTGTGTGTGTGTGTGTGTGTGTGTATAATTAGGTTCAAGTGAAAAAATGATATTAGGAGAGAAATGAGAATGAATCTGGACCGTTAGATTATATTTTGTGAAATTGAATGTGCATTAAGTGAAACTGAAATGTGCATTAGGTGAAATCAAAATGTGCAGCACAAAAAGTAAGACACAATGATATTATGTGAAGTTGAATTGTGCATTAGAGCAAACCGAAATGTGCACTAGGTGAAACTGAAATGTGCAGAATAAAAACTACAATGCGGTGACATTTGTGTGCCTTTTATTCTGCACATTTCAATTTTACATAATGCACATTTGAGTTTAACTTTTCATTCTGCCTATTTCAATTTTACTTAATGCATATTTCAGTTTTACCATATGCACAATTCAATTTTACATAATACAATCTGACGGTCCAGATTCATTCTCATTTCTCCCCTAAGAGCCCTTTCTCACTGGAACCACTCCCCCCCACATATATATATAAGAGATCAAATACAAATCATGCTTAAAATACTAACCTACAAAGTCAATAATATGCAACACTTTGAACTTCAATGTGCAGTAAAAATAATGTAAAGATGCAGTGGTGAGATCACATACAAACTAGTCCTCCCATTCAAATCATCTTTACTTTATTTGTATTGCACATTGAAGTTCAAAGTGTTTCATATTATTTAAGCCATAAAATAGCAGTTTCATATTTAGATTATTTGTATTGCATATTGGAGTTCAAAGAGTGCATCTTTACATTATTTGTACTGCATATTGAAGTTTAAAGTGTTGCATATTATTGAGTTTGTAGGTTATTAAATTGAGCATGGTTTGTATGTGATCTCACCCACCCACCCACACACCCGCCCACCCACCCACCCACCCACACACACACACACACACAAACATATATATATATATATATATATATATATATATATATATATATATATATATATATATATATGGGAGCGGTCCCGGTAAGAACGGATCTTAGGAGAGAAATGAGAATGAATCTGGACCGTTGGATTGAATTATGTGAAACTGAATTGTGCATTTGGTGAAACCGAAATGTGCATTAAATGATATTGAAATGTGCAGAATTAAAATTTAAACTCACATGTGCCTTAGATGAAACTGAAATGTGCAGAATAAAAGGTACAAAAATAACATCACATCGTACATTTTATTCTGCATATTTTAGTTTCATCTAGTGCACATTTCAAATTCATCTAATGCACAATTTAACTTCACATAATGCCACTGCATTGTACCATTTGTTCTGCACATTTCAATTTCTCCTAATACACATTGCAGTTTCATCTAATGCACATTGAATTTCACATAAAGCAAATCTAACGGTCCAGATTCATTCTCATTTTTCTCATAAGATCATGTTTTTATTTGAACCAAAACCTATATATATATATATAACCTTCTTGTCAGCGGTTCTCATTCAAGGTTGATGGGAACGGTTGAGGTTAGGGCTGCACATCGAGCGGGTTGGGTCGGTTTTGCTATATTTTTTGGGCCTACCTGATTTGTTCGGGTTGGCTATTATTCAACCCGCGGTACGCAAAATAAGTTGGTAAACGATGCATGAACTTGTGAACAGGTCAGGTAGGGTCGGGGTATTGAAAAAAAAATCACTTCGGGTTGCATCTTTATGTGGGAGATTAATGTAACCAATTTAAAACTCTATTAACTTGTTTTCAAAACACACAAACAAATACAAGTACTCGTATCTTTTATAAGCAAAAACATTAGATAATAGTATTAAAGCATCCTTCCGTAAAGGAAGATCATTTAGAAGGAAACATAAATATATAATAATCACCTAGTCAAAATGGTAAATGTTTAATTATAATTCTAGTATCATAAAGTCCTGGATAGAGCACATTGGTCTTAAATTGAAATTATCCAAGAAAACATTGTAGCATAATAATAGTAAAATGAACTTCGGCCAGATCGGGTACTATCGTGTCTGGAGATTTTAATTCCTCAACCCTACCCATTAGGTGCAGGTTCAATCATATGATGTAAAGTTGAACACTATCATGGTCAATAAGTTACTATTATAGTCACTAAGTCATATTTGTGTCCATTACTTTCCTTTCAGTTATATATTTGTCATTATTTCTTAATTTAATAGTCAGTCGAATATCTAGATTGTGTGACAACCTTTTAAGTGGGACGAATGGAGTATGTTTATTTAATTATATTCGAATGTCTATTCTTGTTATTTTCATAATTCTTTTTTCCTTAACATTTAAATTTTTTAAGGCATTTATGCCTATATATTATTTAAGTTTTTAATGAGTGGATTTCAAAATTTAATGGCAAATTTGATCATTTTTTCTTTAATTTGAAAACAAGTTTTACGAATAACTTGAACATTTTTTAAATTTATTTTTATTGAAGTGATAATAAATATATTTAGATTGCTATTTGAACATAGTTTTTTACATTTTTGTATTGGATCTACAACCTCTTACGATTAAACCTACTTAAAATTAGATTTCATTTTATTTATTATTAAGATATTTCATTTTTTGTTTAATTTTTAATTACTTCAGACGTAGGTTGTAATAGATTTATTGTGTGAAGAGAAAATATTTAAAGGGCATTAAGGTAATCCACCATATCTGTAATATAAGATATCTTTTAACAAAATAAATTAATATCACATTCCATTAACCTTAACCAAACACAAATGAGAATAAAGTAAATACATTCTCATCAATATAACCGCAGTTTATACCCTGCAACCGGCGCACCATGAGGATGGTGCGCCCGGTTGCAAAACGACGCAGTTTATACCTAGTTCCATTATTTTTTATTTCTTTTATTGTTAGAAATTGTAATAACTTTTTTATTTGATATCCGATTTTTATAAATTTTATATCAATTTTTATTTAATTTTTCATGATCTATCAAATGAGACCAATATTGCTTATGTAATTTTAACAAATTATTTTGAAGTTACATTTGATAATATATCATGAAGTTACATCTTCTTCTACGCGAGTTACATCTTATTGTACGCGAGTTACATCTTAATATACGCGAGTTACATCTTAATGTATGTGAGTTACACCACGAAATAAACCCCTGCTACATCTTTCATTTTTATCATTTGAAAAATAGTGTATGAATATGAAATACAATAGACTCCCTCCGTCCCGTAAAATAAGTCCCATTTTCCTTTTTGGGCCATCCCAAAAAATTGTTCCCATTTCCCTTTTTGGAAAGTTTTGTGTGGCTAACATTCATTTACCTTTTTCTTACTCAACCACAACCATACATTTCCACTTTATTCACACTTTCTTAAACTCCGATCCAAATTGAACTGAGACTTATTTTATGGGACGGAGGGAGTACTTATTTTATGTGGATTAATAAAATTTTGTATTAAATTGGCAAAGAAAAAAATTGATTCAGTTATAATTGAATTAGTTCAAGATAAAGAAAAGTAAAAAATCACAAATAATTAGATATAACTCACACATAATTACATGTAACTCGCGCATAAAAGTATGTAACTCGTGTATAACAAGATGTAACTCACACATAATTACATGTAACTCACGCATAAAAGTATGTAACTCGTGTATAACAAGATGTAACTCACACATAACAAGATGTAACTCACACATAATAACTTGTAACTGGAGTATAAGATGATGTAACTTCGTATATTATCAAATGTAACTCCAAGTTAGAAGCAAAATAAACAAACTCAATATCTTAAAAACCTCTAAAAACATATAAAAGTGATAAAAAAATATATTATAGAAAAAGTGTATGCATATAAAAATATATTCGGAGTATTACAAAAAAATGTATGAATGTAAAAAATTAAAATTACATAGGCAATATTGGTCTCATTTGAAAAAACATGAAAAATAAAAATTTTTGATATAAATTTTATAAAAATCAGATCAAAAATAAAAAAATTATTAACAATTTTAAGAATGGAAACTCACCCTTACGTCAATACCCAAACCAATTCTTCTCTACCAATTCAATTAGGCACCGTTCAATACAATGGATTTGAGCATTTTACCCCTCCCATTGCGGGTAGCCGCGTATTCTTTTCGGGTTGGCGGGTCGCCATGTAAGATGTCACCTTTCTTGAAAATCTCCTCCCTGTGTTATCCGGCCATGCTCCATAATCGGAATATTGCTATGAACCCCAAAGGTTTCAACTTCCCTTGCTGTGAATCTCCAACTCTTGATCTGCCACCCCGCATCATCTCCCCAACACATTTGCCATGCGACAATGAACCAGATTATCCTCACTTTTAATCATCACTACAATGTCGTCGGATCCCAATCCAGAACCAGGCAAAACCTCGACTCCACGTGCCGCGGTCGACAATGCGCCAATGCCTGTTGCTGACCACAATGACTCTCCCTCGACGCCTTCCGTCGTGAAGCATCTTCGGAAGATTCCTCCGATTAGCCGACCTGTGGCGGGAGACGAAGAGGTCGGAGATGATCGGGATGAAGAGGTTGGCGGTGGAAGTGATGATTCGTTAATGCTTGAGGTATCTAATCTCGGCCTCAATCGCATTAGGACTCGCTCAGCACCGTCGCCTCTCGTCATTTCTAAATCTATTCGAATGCCTTTTGATCACGGAGATGGAAGTGGTGGAAGAGGTGTATCTAATTTGCGTTCTAGGTTTGCATCTAAATTTGATCAACCTGCTGAACATGCCGTGGAACGAGGTTGTATATTACACACAGTGTTTTTATTGCGCCTATTTTTAGTAAGCCTATTCTAGGCATGACTTATTAGTTTTATTAAGTCAATATTCTTGTATCAAGTAGGTAGTTTCCTACCATAAAAATAACAAGGCATGCCAAGAATAGGCGTACTACAAATAAGCGCAATAGTTTTCTCTCCTTTTCCACAATAGTTATCAGTTCCATAGAATTGCGGACAAAACTTTAGTATCTCAGTTTCATGTAGTTGTATCTTCTTAGTGCCGGTCGATAAATTGAAGTGCTATATCTTTTGTAGTATGTGATTTTGATTGCTAGTGGAGGCAACTAAAAGTAGTTGATTTTATTATCCCCTACAATAGTTGGGGACGTGAACTTAAAAAAATATGGTGTTCTGAAGCTGATCGAATGTTATTTACCATTCCAAATGTCTATTTATTTTTAGGTAAAAAGGTCCACTGGACTCAAACTAAATCTATGAAAGTGATGTCACCCCGACATTCGAACTTTGAGGTAGTTTCTCATTACAACACTTGGTTTATATGAAGCTTTTATTCCGCTTTATATGCTAAAGTTAGTTCAAAGTGTTAGGTAACTCATCTTAATTTCATGTTTCCCTCATCCATGCTTTATTATTTGAAAACAAAAAAAATGTTGATGTACTTATTATAGGGTCACCATGCAGCTTTTGCCAAGGAAATGCAGTCTCCACGCTTTCAAGCTATACTACGTGTGACAAGTGGTCGCAGAAAGAGGGTTCCAGATATCAAGAGCTTCTCTCATGAACTCGATTCCAAAGGAGTCCGGCCACTTCCGTTTTGGAAATCTCGCGCTTTTGGGCGAATGGAGGTATGACTAGAATAGTTTTTGTATCCCAGATGCTAATACTATGGTCTCTAAAGTCATTTTCCTGCCTACATTTTTAGGATATTATGGTGATGATTAGGTCAAAATTTGATAAATTAAAGGAAGATGTGAACTCTGATCTGGGCATTTTTGCTGGAGATCTAGTTGGAATGCTTGAAAAGGCGTTGGAACCCCATGGGAGGGAGAGTTTGGAAGATTTGTTGGTCGTAGCCAGACAGTGTGCAAAGATGTCAGCTAGTGACTTCTGGTGTAGTTGTGAAGGCATTGTTCAGAATCTAGATGACCGAAGACAAGAGCTAGAAATGGGAACTATAAAACACGCTCATACACGCCTCTTATTCATACTAGCTCGTTGTACTCGTCTTGTGCAGTTCCAAAAGGAGAGTGGTTTTGAAGAACACATTCTATCTTTCCATAAACTTAGCGACTTAGGAGTGTATCCTGAACAAATGATTGGGAAGGAATTATATGGGGGAAGGAACAAAAAATCTCAGGGAGTGGACAATAACAGTCTAAATGGGAAGAATGATCAGACGGATGAGAACTTTTGTGGAGAGACCACAGAGGTTAACACTGCAAAGAGTACTCCTTCATCTGCAGGAAGTTTCAGAATGTCCTCTTGGAAGAAGCTTCCGTCTCCTGCTGAAAGAAATCAAAAAGTCAACAACTCTGTTGATGTCCCACCCACTGATAAGTCTGATGCATTGATACTTAATATATCATATGATGATTCATTTATCTGTCGTATATGTGAAGATGAAATACCAGTTATTTATGTAGAGCAACATTCAAGAATTTGTACTTTAGCGGATAGGTGTGACTTAAAAGGTTTGACGGTGAATGAACGACTTGAAAGAGTTACAGAAATTCTTGAAAAGGTACTTGAATCATGGTCGCCAAAAACCGTTGACATTGGGATGGTGAATCATGAGATGGATGTTTTTTCTGCCAAGCAGAAGGGGTTGCCATGTCAATGTCCACCAGACATACTACTAGATCGTGCTCTTAAGACCAATTCTACCTTGATAGATAATTCCAAAAGTTCATCAGATGTGTCAAACAAGGCCTCTTCAGCTGGGAGCATGACACCACAGTCGCCACTGCTGACTCCTCGGAGAAGCCAGGTTGATCTGTTGTTGAGTGGACGTAGAACAATATCTGAACATGAAAGTTATCAGCAGGTATTTCACAGAATTGTTATTGAGGTTCTTCATTATTGGTGTCTGTTGGATGTATTCACAATGGTAAATCTGTTTGCTTTATTAATGAAAACCAATAATATAATGATGGGATGCTTTATTCATTGAATGGATAATTCTGGAAGTTACTAGCTATTCTTCATCTCTCCATTTTATCATTTGTAATAATCTTTTGCAGAAGGCTTTATTCGGTTATTTTTTTTCTCCACTGGTATTACCATTTAACTCATTTTGCGTTTGATGCATGACGCATACCTAGCTATCTTTTCATGAAAATAAAACTTGTTCAGAAATCACAAACACTTCATGGGCTTTTCTTCCCCCATCATGTGATTATTCTCTCAAAATGTCATTACTCTTTTCGCTAACCTAAAGATTTTTTTTGTATTTGTCAACCTTTTCTCCCTATTCAAAAGGCTCCTTGCTGAAAGTTACTTTTCTACTTTGATGTTAATCAATATGTTTGTTGCTATTGTAAAATACTATTTATTCTTGCAACCTTTCTATACTTCATGTATATCTCATTCCTTAGATGTTTTAACCACTCATCTCATCATCTAATATCCTCACAGATAAGTAAGTTATTGGATATTTGTCGATCGGTTGCCAATGTGAACAACAATGGTTACAGTACGTTAGAATATTTGCTTGATCGTTTAGAAGACCTCAAGTATGTCATTCAAGATCGGAAGGTTAATGCTCTTGTTGTTGAGACATTTGGAAGACGTATAGAAAAACTATTGCAGTGAGTTCCGACCTATTGTCTGTTTCTTTTTTTTAATAAAATGACATCATGATCTGCATACAAAATTTTAATCCCAGTCTTGAACAATAGGCTGCTGGGAGTTTTAGTTGAAAATGAATTTTCATCTTCGACTTTCCCAAGGGTATGTATGGGCTCTGGATAATGTTAAATTACAGTGAAAGGAAATAATTACTAAGAAAAGCTGTTTTTTATGTTTGTGTATCAACAAATATCTAAGATAAACTAATTGAGTTTTAACCCTTCTATTTATCTTCCCCTCATTGAGTTTTAACCCTTCTAAGTTATACGTAGTAGCTTTCTTCTGAGTTTGTCTTCCTTAGTTCTTCACTTAGTATGTTTTGGTTTCCAAGCAGACCTATTTTTTTTGGATGACTAACAATGTTTGAATATAACTCAACTCCACAGAGAGAAATATGTGCAGCTTTGTGGAGAGATTGATGATGAGAAAGTGGTTGCTCCAAATAGTGTTGTTGATGAGGAAAGTTCTACGGAAGATGATACCATATGTAGTTTGCGTGCAAGTCCTATTAATCTATGCTCTAGGGATCGGACGTCCATTGAAGATTTTGAGATAATAAAGCCCATCAGCAGAGGTGCTTTTGGAAGAGTTTTCTTGGCAAAAAAAAGGGCAACTGGTGATTTGTTTGCTATAAAGGTGAAGGTTCTAAATATAATTTTAAAAAGTCTAAACCTGTATTAACATTTTCATGGTATCGTGTTTAAATAAAACAATATCTTTGTAGTCAAAGATATCAGATACGAAGTAATATTTAGAATATTCAATTTGTGTATTTTAACCCTTCTCTCCCTGCTCCCCGCCAAAAAAGCTGTTATGTACCAGGATTCTTGGCGTCTCAGGAATAAATTAAAAAAGGGATAAACAAAAGGGGCTGTGGGAAATTTGAGATTTTTTCTTCCATAGAAGCAAAGGGAATCTTCACAAGCTCAAAATGCAGTGCAAAAGTTGCAACAAGCACTACACCTAGTTTCCAGTCTTTGCCAACCAGTGGACTCCGTGGCAGTGATGAAGCACCTCCATCAGTAAACACTTCATCTATAGAAGTTCTGCCTCAACCTCCGTTAGCGTTGCTTCAACCACAACAACTTCTAGAGCCAAGGCTGTCCCCAACACTGATAATGCAGATGCCCTGGCCAATTAGCATCCCAAAATGAACTCTTTGGACTTTCCAGATCCATTTTGGTCCACTAAAACTGTCCTAGTTTACCATTGTATTCAAAGGGAATTTTCTAATGGATGATGATCACCTTCACCATAGTCCATTTCTAATTCAAAGTGACTTTCAATGTTCTTCAATAGTTCAAGGATCATTTGCACTTTTTATTGGTGCAGTCATTCATCATCAAGTTCAAGTTTTCAAGCTTGAGGGCAAGCTTGACTTTCAAGGAGGGGTTTATTGATGCATGCTACAATATAAATACTATGACGATATAAAAGAGAAATCAAGTAAAATAGTGAGGAGGTGATAGCTCATTCATTTGCTTAATTCATTTTATTATTGTGATAATTTTCAAATACATTCATTAGTTAATCTATTTTATGAAGTGATTTTCTAAGATTTCCTTTTCCTTGTGTTTTGCATTGATATACATATAATCCCTCTTATAAAAGGGAGCTTTTCTATGCTAATAAAATATTCAAGAAACAATTTAGAAAAATTAACAAGGAAAAATCCTCACATTTCCACAGCTGCTTTTGTTTATCCTTTTTTAAATTCAATCCTATTACTCAAATAATGTCGTTACATAACATTTTCTTGGATATTTTGGCATAACAAAGCTCCCTTTTATAAGAGAAGTTACATGCATATGAATGCAGAAAACAAAGAAAATGATATCCTTGAAAATCGCTTCTTAAAATAAATTAACTAATGAAGGTGTCTAGATATTGTCATAAGAAAATCAATCAGCTATCACTCATTATATTACTTTATTGCTCTTTTTATCTTTCCATAATATTATATTATAGAATGCATCGTTACACCCCTCCTGGAAAATCGAGCTTGTCGTCAGGCTTGAAAACTTGAACATGGCGTTGAGTGGTTGTACCAGTAAAAAGTGCCACCGATCCTTGTATTCTTTAAGAGGATTGAAAATTTGTTGTATAGGTGAACTAAAGCGGAGGTGAGAAAAATCCATTAGATACTCCCTTTAAATAAAACAGTAAACTGGGACAATATTAGGGGACCAGAATGGATCTGGAAAGTCAAAATAGATTGATTTGAGAAGCTTTTGAAGTAAGACACCCTGCATGGTAGGTGTCACATACAACGTTGGCACTATAAGTTGTAGAGGTTTTGGAGGAACTTTGGCAGATGAAGTGTCTACTGATGGGGGTGCTTCTATAGCTGCCACCGCCAATTGGGAAAATCGGTCAAGCTGGTTAGAAAGTGTCTTAATCGACTTTTTTAATGGCTGCAGTGCTAGTTGCACCCTATGCACCACATTTTGCAGCTTGTGAAGGTATCCTTGGCTTGTCAGCTTCTATAGCTCCTTCTGTATCTCAGAGAGGAGTGTGTACTCATAACCAGAAAATATAAAATTTTTCATGGCGCTGGCATGGGAACTAAAATGTGATGTACTGTGATTCTTTGTGTAATGTGAATAAATTAGAAAGGGATAAACGTAAGGGGCTGGGAAATTTGAGGAGTTTTCCTTCTCCTTGATTTTTTCTTAGTTGTTTCTTGGATATTTTATTAGCATAGCAAAGCTCCCTTTCTTGGATTGCATGCATAACAATGTAGAACAGAAGGAAAGGGAAATACTAGAAATTCACTTCCTAGAATAGATTAACTAATGAATGTATTTAAAAGTTATCATAATAAAATCAATGAGCTATCACCTCCTCACTATTCTACTTGATTTCTCTTTTTTATATTTTCATAATATTATTTTGTAGCATGCATAAAAAATATTGTAGTCACAGTGTCTGGTATGTATTCAATGACCAGATTGCATGAATTGTGTGACTGTGTCTCATTTCTAGACAACCTTTGTGGGTGTTACATTATTTATTTATATAATTTGATTATAGGATTTGTGGTGCAATTTCATGCCCAACAATATCTATTATATTGTATTATATTTGGCATTGTAACTCAAAATTCTGCAGGTTCTGAAAAAAGCTGATATGATACGCAAGAATTCCGTAGAGAGCATTTTGGCAGAGCGTGATATTTTAATTTCACTCCGCAATCCATTCGTGGTTAGAATATCTTATTTATTAGGGATAAGGGTTAGATAGAGCCTCGAACTTACAAAAAAATGTCAAATAAGGTCATATATAGGATGCTCTGTACGTCCGGCGCCATTTGGAGTGGTTCCCGGTTAATATTTTCGGTGAAATTTTTTGAGCATCTTATTCATTAAGTCTAGTTTACTCATATCACATTTGAACTAAAAATTCAATCGGGAAGGCATTCAAATGAATTCTTGAAAATAACTGCGCAGTTAAAAGCGCAGTTATTTTTAAGAATTTATTTAAATGCCTTCTCGATTGAATTTTTAGTTCAAATTTGGTATGACTAAACTAGATATAATGAATAAGATTCTCAAAAAAATTCATCAAAAAATTCCATCGGGAACCGCCCCAAATGGCGTCGGTCGGACAGATCATCTTATATAAGACCTTATTTGACATTTTTTTGTAAGTTCGAGGCCCTATCTGACCCTTATCCCTATTTATTATCATCTGTGTCACACTTCTCTTGTATGACTGCTAAAAAATCAAAAATAGTTCACGACTTTAAAATCTGTTGGTGAACAGGTCCGTTTTTTCTACTCCTTCACATGTAGGGATAATCTTTATCTTGTGATGGAGTACCTGAATGGAGGAGATCTTTTCTCTTTGCTGAGAAATCTTGGTTGTCTACAAGAAGACATGGCCCGTGTTTATATTGCTGAAGTTGTAAGTACACATTGATGATTTGATCACATGAGAACTAAATTTGCAACTTCACAGGGAGCAATATATGACCTCTTAATTCTCTCCTTTCAGGTTCTCGCATTGGACTATCTACATTCCTTGAATATTGTTCATAGAGATTTGAAGCCTGACAATCTATTGATAGGGCCGGATGGTCATATCAAGGTTAATACTCTAATTACTATGAACTTTGTATGGTTTTATTTAACATTAGTGAGTTGCGACCTGAACTTCAGGCATTATGTTAGCCTTATTAAGCGTGTGAGTGTTTTCTGTCTTTTTAATTCCAATTCACATGATGGAAGCATATAGTTTTGTTCCTCGAAACAAAATTTGTGAGATTCTATAGTATTTGTGGTTTTCTTGCCGGCTCCATTGCTCCACACAATTACACAAAACTAATCCTTCCCATCACAGTTGACAGATTTTGGGCTCTCCAAGGTTGGTCTTATCAACAGCACTGATGACTTGTCAAGTTCATCAGGTTCTTCTTTGCTTGGGAATGCTAATCTGAAAGCACAACCATCAATAAAAAGAGAAAAGCGGCAGAAGAATTCAGTTGTTGGAACCCCCGATTACTTGGCACCAGAGATACTTCTCGGCGTTGGGCATGGTGTGGAATTAGTTTTTCCATCCCTTATAGTTACATGACTGAAAATGCAATTTACCTGAACCCATATCATGACGGATACTCAAGATGCAGTTAAAGTTTTTGAATTAGTGATTTGGATTTTTTCCTCATATTTATTGTTCTTATTGTAGGTGCAACAGCTGACTGGTGGTCGGTTGGTGTTATTATGTTTGAGCTCCTCGTTGGCATTCCACCTTTTAATGCAGAGCATCCTCAGGTATACTCTTATAGATCCTAATGTCATTGTAAATATGCTGGCTGAATACAAAACTGAATAAGCTGCATAAGTAACAGAGCTATAATTATATTCAAATAATATTCTGCAGATGCTACATAAAATCCTGGTTTGCCAAAATTATTATGTACACATGTTTCCTGTAATCTTTAGCGTGATTCAAACTAAAAAGAATCACCTGGGGTTGTGATGCATTTATCCCAAGTGTTTCAATGGCTCAAAAGTCAGAACCAATACCGGATATGATATATTTGTGTTGTTTTGCAGCAAATATTCATCAATATCATGAATAGAGACATACCTTGGCCGAAGGTGCCAGAGGACATAAGTTTTGAAGCATATGATTTGATTAACAAGTAAGATATTTTATTTTATATTCTTTACTCCTAGCTAACTTGTAAGTGTTAATTGGACACTTATTTTTAGATGCACCCTTGCTTTAGGTTGTTGATTGAAAACCCACTTCAAAGATTAGGCGCAACAGGTGCTGCAGAGGTAATAACATAATCTTCCATTGAAACCCTCGGTTTAATAAAAAAAAAACAGTCTGGAATGTGTTGAATGCATGCATGGTGAAACGAAGCTGATCAACACCCTAGATATAGTTAATTGCTTCAATGGACAGTTGCACTTGAAATATGACTGAAATCATTCTTCTAGACAACTTAATCTCTTGTCGTGGAATTCACAAGGTCAAGTCAAGTGATTTTTACCGGAATTCAAATCTTAATGTTGGTTAAAACAATAAAATGCACCTTGGATACTATAATTTTTTTCAAAAGTTGAGACACCAAAATGCACAAGTACGAGTGCTTCACATTCGATACACACATTCGTTCCATGGACTATGTGATATTGACCTCTGAGTATCTGTTGCATATTATCACTAGGTAAAGCAACATCCATTTTTTAAGGACATCAACTGGGATACACTAGCAAGGCAAAAGGTTTCTCTCTTAGACTCCCTCTTGATAAAGAATTACAAAAACAGTTCCCGTGTTTTTTAGAAGTAGAGACTTATACTTCTCTCATTTCATATAGGCTGCATTCATACCTGCTGCTGAACCACATGACACTAGTTACTTTATGAGTCGTTACATTTGGAATCCGGAAGATGAAGATGTCTGGGGTGGTAGTGATTTTGATGACATGAGTGATGTGAGCAGTATCTCATGCAGCAGCAGTTCTTGCAGCAATTTACAGGACGAAGATGTATATGCATTATTCATATCTTTTGATTCAACATCTAGGAAAAAACTAGTGAAGAAAACAGGGAGGAAAATTAATTGGAAGAAGAGAAGTATTAGAGGGCATGAAAGATAATCATAAACTCAATAAGATCGGGTTAGATATTAAATCAAACTCATATATTTTTTCTATTATGTTAAGAGTTTAGATAAACATGTACAAAATTAAAAACGTAAAGTTACATTTCATTTTTTTTTTGTATTTTCCAATGTAAAATCTAATTAGAAACTGGTCAACCCGCCAAACTAAGCCCTCCCTGACTAGGCACTAGCGGCTAGACCTAAATATGCCCCTAGCGGGGCATGTCGAACTGCTTACAACATTACTAATATATAATACTCTCTCTGTTAAAAAAGTATCACACTTGATCAAATTCCAAGTTTTGAATTTTGGGATGGTACACTTCCTTTAAATTACGAATTCTACACATATTTTTATCTTGAAATGGGTTATAAACTAAATTCATCATATTTAAGTCGTCACTAAAATTGTAATATTTGTTGTTTGGGAAAAAATCTTGAGTGCATTAAATTTGATGAAAATTAGATTCTTTAGTTTATGTTGTGAGATAGTTAGTAGTCACCTTTTGGGGGACTTAGTCCACTATTAAAGTATTGAGTTGTTGCTTTTCAAATTATATTCACTTGGAATTAATAAAATGAAGAAGCTTGTAAGAATATAATTTTTCCAGATGTCTGCATAAGTCATAAGTAACTATGTGAAATATGAATACTTTTTTTTACTATTTATTAATTCTTTTATGTTATGTCATAAATGATTATCATTATGATTTCTTTGATACAGGGAGATGAATGTGGGTATTTGACAGAGTTTGGCAATTCATCCCTCCTAGAGCAATATTCATTTAGCAATTTTTCATTCAAGGTAGGGTACATGGTTTTATTATCCCTAATAAGAAGTAATATATAGGGTTATTGTTGATTAAAAATTTAACCTATATTATCCTCGAGTAATTAGTGAGGTGACTTGAATGGTCCTTTTCTAATCGTTGTGGAACCACACAATGTGAATATGTCACATGCTAATTAATAATAATAGAAATAATAAGCATACTAATAATTAGTAATAACACTACAAATGGTAGTTTTATATTAGTATATGAAGTTTGTTTTCGTCAATACTTTTAATAACAACATTGTAATACGTTATGAATCACTTCATATTAACAAGTTTCTGTTCAACTCCAAACAACGCCCGTAGGACCATATCTCTCACTTTACGAAGTGGCCCATATCACCATATCTCTCACTTTACGAAGTGACAGGATCCTTTGATGTTCTCTTTTAACTTTTTCTAGATCTCTTGTAACCTAGATCTGCAGCTAGGTTTATACTTTATAATTGCTTATAGAATAAATTGTCTATTTATTATTAAAAGCGATCTAATCATTGGTTTTTACCTTTCATTTAGAACTTGTCTCAGCTGGCTTCCATGAACTATGATTTGGTAGTAAAGAATGCCATAGAATCAGTTGAGAAGCTTTGAAGCACCCATCACTAACCAATTCATGACCCAAAGGAAAATCAAGTGTGGTGGTGTTGGTGAACTTTTGACTGGCTGGTCACAAAAGAAGCTGAACAAAGAAGCCACTTCTGGTCACAATTAGTACATATTTATGTGGGGTGAAACTTGTTTCTAATGTGTGATGATTCCCTACTGTTTCCTCGTGCCATGACAAAGTTAACTTGAAGGTGGGGGCTGGGGGCTACCAACACCAAAATGGTAGTATGAAAAACATATTTATACTTATTCTGATGATGTGTGGCTTGTATATAATGACTTGAAATGAAAATTCTTAGTGTGAAAATTAAGTGCTCTTATAAATGACATGTTTAAATGTTTAGTGTGTTATGCTAATGCAAGAATATGCAGACATGAACAGTACCAATTTCTCAGCAACTCAAGCTCCAACTCCTCCATCGCTATGAACCCCCTAGGACATAGCCAAAAGTATAAAGCTTTCATATGGGTTGATGGAGTATAAACTCCTAGAGATCAGAGAAGGGAGAGCTAGAAAGGGAAGTCATATGTATTAAATAAATTCGATCCGAGATCCTTTACAAGGAAGAAGTGGCTAGTTATTTATAGGCTTATAGCTAGGGGTGGATTCGGGCCGGGTCGGGCCCGGGCCGGGCCTAGGTCCGGTCGGGCCGCCGGTTCTAGAATAGTGGGCCCGGGACCGGCCCGAGGGTTGGACGGGTCCGGTTCGGGCCGGGCCACCCGCCCGGGTCACGGGTCGGGCCACCGGTCGGGCCGGGCCGGGTAATTTTTTTTTTAAATTTATATTTTATACTTTATAGTTTTATACAAGTATTAAAAAACAAACTTCAATTGTTTTATTTGAAATGAAATAGGAACTACATTTGAAAATTAAATAGGAACTATAATTGTTTTTAATCGGAATCTCCGGCATAAGTAGAGCCACCCTCTGTAGATTCATCCATAAAGTGTTGTGATGGAGTGATGTCAATTTCTTGAGCTCTACGTGCTGCTTTCAACCAATCGTGGTAGCATATAAGCATCTCAAGAGATTCAGCGCTCAACCTCGTTCTGGTTTGTGTTAGAACATTGCTGGCCGAACTAAATTCTTGTTCCACGGCAACCGTTGAAACCGGCATTGATAGCACTTGCTTAGCCATCTTTGCTAAACCGGGAACATTCTTTCTTTTCCCTTCCACCAGTTTAGTACGTCAAAATCATCATCTTCTTCAAAATCAACATCATAAGTTAAATACAAAGAAATCTCATTAATTATGCTTTGTTGTGTAGCGGGAGTTGATTTTGTTTTTTTAATAAGATTGGCAAACGTAGATTTGAAAATTGATTTTCCTTTAGATGATGTTTGTGTCGGGGGAGGGGGCGCATTGCCATATTGTGCATGAAACTCATTGAATAATGCATAAAATATATCACTAACCTCGGTGTATTCTTTTTTCGGATCAATTGGGTTGTCCTCATACATTGGCAATGGACCAAAAAAAGCAGCATAATAATAATTCAAACATTCTTCTAAAGAACCAAGTCTAAAACGAGGATCGAGAACAAATGCAATACCATAAATATGCGGAATATGTGAATAATATTTTAAAAACTTTTCCTTCATAAAACCAGCAAAATAATTCACATAATCAGCATTCTCAAAATTTGAAAAAGCACCGGCGAGATTAACAGCTTCACGAATAAATTGGTTTGATGTAGGTTTATAAACATGACTAAAAGTTTCAGTTGCATTATTAAAATATATCAAAGCATTACAAATTTTTTCACATGTGTCGATCTCAGCCGAGTTTATAATATAGTTATCATATTGTTTCATAAAAGCAGGAAAATGTTGTTTATATCTAAGAAGAACTCCAATTAACTTATAGGTACTATTCCAACGAATAGACAAATCTTTTGGAAAAGCCACATATCTCTCACCTCTTTTCTATCAAATAATCATGCCATTTTTTCCTAAGGTGTCCATTACCCCAAATACGTCTAATCCCCCCCTTGACTACCTCCAACGATGCTCCCAACGCTTTTAGACCATCTTGCACACATAAATTTAGAACATGACATGCACATCGTTGATGAAAAAATCTACCCATCAAAGAAGTAGAACCACACAATTCACGCAATCTAGGAATAGCAGCAGTATTATTAGTAGCATTATCAAAACCAATAGCAAACACCTTATCAATTAAATTATACTCAATTAAAATACGTTCAATCAAAATATAAATATGTTCAGCGGTGTGACGATCATTAAATTCACGGAAAGCAAGAACACGTTTATGCATATGCCAATCATTATCAATATAATGTACAGTCAGACCCAAATAATGTAAATTATGATAAGTATCCTCCCATATGTCAGAACATACAGTAACACGTCCATCAAAGTTTGCAAAATAATTTTGTAACCTTACCTTTTCCGCACCATAAAGCCTTGAAATTTCTTTCTTAACCGTTTTGCGACTATAACCTCTATATTGCGGATTTAAACAAGTTTGTGCATAATCACGGAAAGCAAGACTTTCAGAAAACAAATAAGGCAAATTTTCTTCAACAAGTAAGTTAGCCATACCTGTCAAATTTTGTGCATCATTGTATGAGAAATTACCAAAAGCTTGTTGGTTATTTGCAAACCTCGATATTTGCGTTTGTTTCCCCGTTCCGCCGCCTAATTTTGCATACTCCACCGGGTGTTTGGACTTAAGGTGTCTTGTGGCGGATCCGTATCCGCCGGAAATCCCCAAGCTATAGTTTTTCTTGCACCAATTGCAAGTTGCGGTCCAATTCCCGGTGTTCGGGTCCTTCCACTTAGAAAAATTATTAGCCATTAATTCAGATTTACTTTTTTTTGTACCTGTTTGGGATGAGGCTGCTTGTTCGGCGTCATGGCTGCCGCCACCCTCCTCCTCCTCGTCGTCGTGGCTCTCCGGAATTGCTTCCTCCACATCGTCGTCCTCGTCCTCGAGCTCTTCTTCGTCAATGGTCCTCGGTTGGTCTTGAAAAAAGCGGGAATTATGTCGGTGCAATTCTTGTTCTAGTTGTTCGTCGGTCATCGCATCCCCATCCCTCCTTACGTAACCCGTATCAAAATCATCTTGACTTTGAGATGAAGAGCCGAGATGTGATTTACCTTTGCGGGATCTCTTCCTCGCAAGCTCGTTCGTTCGGTTGCGCTCGAGGTTACCCATATCAACCGAATATCTAGGACGATCCATCTAAAAAATGTAGCAATTAATAAAAAATTGTAAAAAACTAATTAACTATTTATCTAACTATTAATTCGAGTTATAGCAAATTAAGTAGTGAATTAACTAGTTTTGTGTACAACATTTTTTTTAAACTAGAGTCAAATGTAGCAATTAATAAAAAATTGTAAAAAACTAATTAACTATTTATCTAACTATTAATTCGAGTTATAGCAAATTAAGTAGTGAATTAACTAGTTTTGTGTACAACATATTTTTTAAACTAGAGTCAAATGTAGCAATTAATAAAAAAGTGTAAAAAACTAATTAACTATTTATCTAACTATTAATTCGAGTTATAGCAAATTAAGTAGTGAATTAACTAGTTTTGTGTACAACATATTTTTTAAACTAGAGTCAAATGTAGCAATTAATAAAAAATTGTAAAAAACTAATTAACTAGTAATTAAACAAGTATAAATAATAGAATAATTTCGTACCTCTTTCGGACTTTCGGTCTTTCGGATGGGAGTAATAGAATGACTTCAAATTAATTAGATATAATTCCAACTATATTAATAGATATAATAAATATATAAGTAATATATAATTAGATAACAAATATAAGTAATATAATACTATTTATATCTATTTATAGTTTATATAAGTAGATAATTAATATAAACTATAAATAATAAATATAATATATTGGAGAATGGAGAATAAGAGAATTAGAGAGTAGAGAGTTAAGAATAGGATTTAGGAAGAATTGGAGAAGAGATATGAAAAAATGTTTAAGATTAGGAGTATTTATAGGGTTTTTTACCCCCCACCCCCCACCACCCCCCACCCCACCACCCAACCCCCCCGGACCCCCCCTATAACCCACCCAACGGCTATATAGCCGTTTGGGTTGTCCCCAGCCCCACCCCCAACGGCTAGTAGGAGCCCAACCCAAATTTTTTTTTTTTTAAATTTGATCGAACCGGACCCGGGCCCGGGCCCGACCCGGCCGGGCCGGGTCACAAAATTGCTGAACCGAGCCCGCCCCGCTTCTTCCCCCGGTTCAGGCCCAGACCCGGTTCCGGACCGCCCGACCGGGCCGGTCCCGGGCCCGCACAGTACCGGGCCGGGCCGGGTGGCCCGAACCGAATCCACCCCTACTTATAGCTGCCATAAATGATAGGTGCAATAAATGAGGGTACACGTGGCGAGCGGTGGAGAATCGGCTCAACCAGGGTGGCGTCGACACAACATATGGCCGTAGGGATGGACCCGGGCCGGTCCGGTTCCGGGCCTGGGCGGGCTTTTTTTGCTAAATGTTGGGCCTGGAATCGGCCCGGGTTGATATCGGGTCCGGGCCTAACCGGGCTGGGCCCGGGTCAAGTTCAATTTTTTTGGTTTCTAATTAACACCCCCCCCTTCATCCCCACCCCCAAACCCCCCCAAAACACCCAACCCTAACCTAGAAAAGCAAAAAAATTGAAAAAAAAATTGAATCGGGCCCAACCCGAACCTCCCGGGCCGGTTCACCAAAAGTTGGGCCCGAGCCCGGCCCGCTCAACCCGCCCAAACGGGCTAAAAGCCCGGAACTGGCCAACCGGTCCTGGTTCGGTCCGGGCCCAAACAGTAACGGGCCGACCCGGTTTAGTCCATCCCTATATGGCCGCATTCAATGCGGTGGTTTGAATGTGATGTTGCATTTAATGCGGCGGTTGGACGTGACATCGTATTCAATATGGTGATTTCATAGCGTGCCGAGGAGATCTTGTCGGGGTGTTGTCGAAGGCCGTACGTACCCCAGAGGCCTTCATGTGCCAGGGGTCGTACGTAGCCGGGAGCCTTCATGTGCCAGAGGCCGTGCGTAGCTAGAGACCTTCCTGTGATGAAGGATGTACGTCCCCTGGGGTATCAATGTGCCTGAAAGACGTACTTCCCCTGGGGCATTCATGTGTCAAAGGACATAAGTTCCCTGGGCCTTCAGCCCTTCAGGTGCTGAAAGATGTATGTAGCTGGATACCGTCATGTTTTGGAGGTCGTACGTACCCCATAGGACTTTAATGTGATGGAGGACGTACGTCCTCGGGGCCTTCCATGTGCTGGAGGACGTACGTCCCCTGGGGCCTTCCATGTGCTGGAGGACGTAAGTGCTCTGTGGCCTTCATGTGCTGGAGGACGTACGTCCCCTGGG